ATTTGCTTCCAGGCAAAAGCACTAAGGGAATAGAGGAAAGGGATGGCAAAAGGGAAGAAGAAAAAGAAGGAGGGGGGGAGGAGGAGGGGAAGGGGAGGGGGAGGGGAGTGTGGCCCAGGTTGACCCCCCCCACCTCAGCCTGATACTGGGGATCACCAGGAACTGGCGCTTTGTGTCTCCCCATCCGGGCTTATGATTGCTGAAGGTGTAAAACAATAACTAGGACCACTCACCATTGCCAGGGTTGACTGGGCTCTGCAGGGAGGTTCTGCAGTTCCACACAGTACTGACCAGAGATGAAGATTTCTGGGGCCCAGCTGGGCTGGGACATTCGAAGGGGCAGACTCAGGTATGTCTGGCACCGTGGCAGGGGTGCCTGGACTGCTCTTTCTCTGTGAAATGGCGCATTCCCCCTTTCTACATGGTCTCTCCAGCAGGATGTCTGGGCTTGGTGATACTGTCACCGACTGGCATGTGTGTGATGGAAAGTAGACGTGTCCTGATTCTTGAGCCTGCTCACAACAATCACCACTGTCCACCTTCTTCAGGGCCCTCTGAAGGGGTGGTGCCCCACCTGCTTTCATGGTGTTACCTACTGGCTGAGAGCTCTTGCTCAGTTCGTACAGAAGTCAATAATTAGCAAGGTGCAGCTCTTTCTGCGTTCATGGCCCTGGGCTTTAAATACCAGTGGCTATCAGCTCTGTTAGTGTTAGTGCCGCCGCCATTGGAGCAGTTACGGCAGGTCATGGGAACTTCCAGAACTGGCAGTTCCCAGCAATTCTTCATTGCTTTATGGCTATCAGGTATCTTACCAGCTCTGTCCACTCTTGGTGCAAACCATCTCAGGTGTTACAAGCTTGGCAGGGGTTACTCAAGACAGAAACTAAGCCAGCTGTGGTAGTGCACACCTGTACGCCCAGCACTCAGGAGGCTGAGGCAGGAGGATGGCCAAGAGTTCAAGGCCAGCCTGGGCTACATAATGAGTTCAAGGCTGGCCTGAACTATATAGTGAGACCCTATCTCAAAAGTCAAAACAAAAACAAACAAGCAAAGAACACAGAAACCACAAAGGAAAGAACTGTCTGGAAGAGTTTTATTAGAACCCATGCTGCATACAGGGGAACATTGCCTGGGGTACAGCATTCCAGGCCAGTTTAAAGAATATAGCGAGAACTTGTCTCGTAAAAACAAAACAGAACGTGTCTCAGAGTGTCCATGGGGCACATGATGCAACTGTGCCTTGGCTGCGAGACATTTGGGGCAGCCACAGAATAAAAGTACTTTCTAGAAGAGCGTCAGACCCCTTTCCCTGTCTCAGAATTCAGGGCTACCAAGGGTGAGCATTCACAGGGGAGGGGGCAGAAGGTGCGGTGTCTTAAAGGCTTGGCTTGGAACTGGCTGAGTTATACATCCGCTGTTTTCCTCAGGCTGAATCAGGCTGAGGCGGGGCAGGGGAGTACACATTTGTGGGCCTATCAGAGTGTGGCATTGACTGCCAGTATGCCCCTTGCAGTCCACCATGAGCCATGGGTCACAGGAAGCAGTGAGGGAGGACAGAAATGCTCAGGCATTTCCAGCCTGAGCGCTGGCCTAGGCAGCAGGTCACAGGGTAAGCCATTTAGCAGCAGTGGCTCTGTGTGTGTGTGTGTGTGTGTGTGTGTGTGTGTGTGAGAGAGAGAGAGAGAGAGAGAGAGGGAGAGGGAGAGGGAGAGGGAGAGAGGAGGTCTTACTATGTAGCTTGAACTCATGGCAATACTCCTGCCTCAGCCTACCAAGTGCTGGGATTACAGGTGTGCACCACCACAACTGGCTTTGTTTTTATTATTTGTTTTGTTTTGAGACAGGGTCTCACTATGTAGTTGAGACTGGCCTGGAACTCACTGTGTAGGCCAGGCTGGTCTTAAACTCACAGCAATCCTCCTGCCTCAGCCTCCCGAGTGCTAGGACTACAGGCGTGCGCCATTGTTTTTATTTTTTGAGACTGGGTCTCACTATGTAGTCCAGGCTGGCCTGGAACTCACTATGCAGCTGAGCCTATGTCCCCTGCATTGCCCAGCTTTCTCCATCACATTCTCCAGGAAGTTACCTACACTTCCCCTAATCTGGTTTCTCCCTCATGGCAGATGATGGGGATCCCCGGCCCCAGGGGCTGAGAGCAGGACAGGAGGGGACAAGTGATTGAACTCTTGGGAGGAGAAAGGAGTAGAACCTAGCCTCTCTCTGCCCCTTGGGCTCCTTCTAGCTGGGCATCCACACAAATCATTTCTCCCTGAACCCATGGCAGACTTCCCTCCTCGATCTACAGAAAGACATGTGCAGGTGTGTGGCCCATAGTTGTAATCCCAGCATCCTGGGAGGCAGGAGGATTGCAAGCTGCAGCCCAGCCTGGGCAATTTATCAAGACATTGTCTAAAAAAAAAAAAGACCTGTACACAAATGCTGATAACCTCATTCATGACAGCCCCATGGAAACTTTGATTAAATGTTCATCAGACATCAAATGGGTAAGATGTGCAATGGTACAGGACACAGCGGAGAATTACTCGGCAATAAAAAGGAGCAAACGACAGATACATGCAGGAACATGGGTGAATCTCAGAAACATGAGGTTAGGTTGGTGAAAAAGAAGCCAAACTGAAGAGGCTAAATCCGGAATGATTCTTTACATGAAGTTCTAGAAAAAACCCAAATCAAAGTGGCAGAAAGAGATCTGTGGTTGCCTGGGACTGGGAGTGAGGAGATGGCACTGCCAAGGAGCACGAAGACCCTTTAGGGTGCGACAGTACCTTCTGGATCTTGGTGGTGCTGGTTCCACAACTAGACAATTACCTAGACACACGGCAGGCCCTGTGGCAGGTGATTATTTTCTTCACAGATTTTCTGAGTCATAATGTACTCAACCACCAACCTACCCAGGGTCCTCCCAGACTTGCTCATCCATCGCCACAGCCAATATTGGAATATTTCATCACTCTGGGAAGAGGCTCTGTCCGCCAGAGCCGCTGTCCCCATCCCCCTCAGTTCTAGGCAATCATCGATTTTCTGTCCCTATAGATTTGTCTATTCAGGAGGTTTTCTAGATGTGAAATCCTGCAATATGTAAATGCAGGAATGCGCCTGAAATCCTTGAGATAAATCAGGTACAGGCCAGGCATGGTGGTGCATGATGTGATCCCAGCACTCTGGGAGGCCGAGGCAGGAGGACCACAAGTCAAACCCAGCCTGGGAAGTTAAGTGAAGCTTACCAAGACCTTGCCTAAAAAAAAACAGGAAGGTGGGGATGTAATTCAGAGCAAAGCCCTTGAGTTCAATACAAGAAAAAAATCAATCAGGTACAGCTGGGCATGGTGGTCCCTGCCCATAATCCCAGCACTGGAGAAGCTGAAGCAGGAGGATCTCCACAGGCCAGCCCGGACTATATAGTGAGCTCAAAGCCGGCTTGAAGTACATAGCAAGACCCTGTCTCAAAAAATCAAATCAAATCAAATCAAAATCAGGTACGTTCTGGTTTGGATGAGTGTCATTTTTGTGGTCCAATCACAGGATCTCTGCTTGTTGTAAAGTAACCCGAGTACACCCTTGTAACCAAGCAGTGGAATCTCAGCCAATCACAGCAGCTGAAACTCCAGCCAAGCAGGGCTGAGAGCGACCCAGACCCGCTCCTGTAAGCCGAACAGGCCCGCAGCCAATCAGGTTGCTTTTGACGGTCACTTCCTTTTCTCTGGTTACAGATAGCATCTGCTCCTGTAACTGCCTGGAGTGCTCTGAACCATCCTGGACGTGGAGTGCCGCCGCAATCTAGAACGTTTTTCTTGGCCAAGCAAACTTTATTAACCGGTCTCAGTTTTTCTCTTCTTGTGGTACCCAGGGCTGCATACTTGTCGGGCAAGCGCTCTCTCACTGCCCCACACACCAGCTCCAGCTCTCAACAGGAAATCCCTGTTGTGAGTCAGGGGCATCCCTACCTCACTGCCTTCTCCTGGAGCCAGGCGGCCCCTCCCGTGGCCTTCGGGAAGTCACCCCACAGTGGACGCCTGACTCAAGCGAATGTGGTCAGGGTCTCACCCTGGGAGTTGCAGCTATGACGCAGTGACACCAGGCTCTGTCAGATCCTTAAGTGAGCCTGTTCCCGCCCCCACTGCCCTCCTGTCCAGCGCCACTGCCTGCTGGGAATATTACACAGGCTTCCACTTGCTACCGCTTTGTCCCTACACCCCATGCTCCCCGTAGCCAGAAGTGTCCACACAGAATGCAGATCACAGCCACCCCTGCCGCCAGACCAGTTTGTCACCAGATATGTATGTGCCATACATATTTAAGGAAGGCTACAGTCTATATATTTGAGACAAGGTCTCACTACGTAGTTCAGGGTGGACTTGAACTCATTTTATAGCCCAGGCTGGTCTCAAAACTCACGACAATCTTTCTGCCTCAGCCTCCCAAGTGCTGGGACGGCATGCCTGGCCCCTCAAGGGTTCTTGTATTGGTATCTTGGTGTCAATGTGGGCTTCCAAGAGATGCTGGGACCCTAGAGAGCTGGAGCCTCTGAGAAATCTTTAGGTCAGGAGAGGCTCTGAGCTCAGAAGGGGTTAGCGCTGCTCCTGGGGAATCCAGCGTTCTTGCAAGAAGGTCCAAAAGGAAAAGCGGGCTTGGCCCTACTCCCTGCCCTCCCCCTAGGATCACTGTGTCTCCGTGCGTTCCTGTCATTGTGATGCCAACCGTCCTGAGGTCCTCAGCAGACCTTTATAAATGCCCAGCCTCGGGGACTGCGCCCCACTAATGGAGATGGAGGAATGCACGTGTCCTCCATTCTTCAAAAGGAACCATGAAAAGAATGAGGCTTAAAAAAAATTTTTTTTTGCTTCCTCTGAAAGAGGTTGCCTGCATGGAACACCCGGTCTGTGGCAGCCCTTCGGGACCTTAAGACACCAGGGCTAAGAGGAGACGACAGGGGCACAGCGAGCAGACGGGTGGCAATGAGGTCACGGATGACACCGTTAAGCTGCTGGGTTAACCAACTCTCGGCGCGGGAGTATATTCTTTGGACCAGAGGCTGGACTTCTCTTTCTTGAGCCCCGCGCCCTCTGGCAAGGGGAAGGGACTTGTCCGTGCACGAGCGCACAGGCTGCTGGAGGGAGCCGCCAAGGACAGGCTGCGGTCAGTGCTTGAGCAATGGGGAGAGGTCGGCGGCGATGCCCACCCAGTCGGGCAGGAAGGCCGCCTCGGGCTTGAAGACCCGGAGGAAGGGGGAGTCGGGCAGGGTGTAGTTGGCCAGGTAGACAGTGTCCCCGCCCGCGAGGTAGGCGGCCCAGATGCCGAAGGTCCCGATGGTCATGACCGCGTGGTTGCACTGCGTGAGCAGAGCGAAGTCCCTGCCGGGCGAGCCCTCCGCGCCGTTGCCCGCGAACACCACGTCCCCGCGGGAGGCGTCGATGTTGTCCCGGCACCAGGCCATGCCGTCGCTGGT